GAAGACTACTAATAGTTTGAATGACTGTTCTTCTTAGCTCAATTTAAGCGAAAAATGGGTTTATCGAATTTTAAATTGACGAAATTTTGACGACAATGTTGACAATATATTTTGATATTAAGTACAGATTATAGATTTACACTGAAGAAGGCTTGGTAAGCTGAAACGTATGTAATTTATTTGAAATTGTAATAAAATATTGTTAGCTCGAAATAAGCCACGAAGTTTTGTTAAAAATTTTTTAGTATATACGAGCATAAAAACCGTTTATTTATTACACGCAGGCTAAGATTGCGTATTATTTAATCTCTCAAATTAAATTAAGAAACATATTTACTATGACAGAAAACAAAGAATTTTATTATGTTAGGGAATTGTTTGGCGTTAATATTGCGAAAACTTGGAAGAAATGGGTAGATTATAATTATAGGTTGATTGAGGCGAAAACAAAGCTAGTGTTCCTTAAAAATTGTAAAGAAAGTGGGATCATTCCAGTTCATTTGAACAACATAATCAGTGTTCCAGTAAAGTTACATCATTACAAAACAATCACTAAGTTTAAAAGATCTTTAAACTATTTTAGGAGTAAAATATTAAATGTTGAAATCTCTGATCTTTATAGGGTTATTGACTATTTGCAGAGGGAGTTAGCTAATACATCTTGGGAATTGAGTATTTTGTTGCCGTATGTTGTTTGGTTGTGCATTTTTTCTAGTCAACAAAAATCTTTTGATAAATGTAAAAAAAGGTTACATTTTAAACATTTGCGGAAATTTTATTGGATTAAAGAAAAGAAAAAAACAGAGATTACAAAACACATTCAACCAATAAGATTTCATAGCACAAAGATTGAAAATTCAAATGTAATAACTTTTGATAGAAACCATAAATTTGGGAAAAAAGGGGAAGAAAAGGGTTCTGATAAAGCTTGTATTTCCATTAATATTGAAGCTGGTAAATTTATAGACAGGTTATCAGAGCCTTTGGGACAAACGAACAAAAAATGGTTTATAAATTTGACAGATGTAAACATTCCTACAGAAGTTTCTAATTTATTACAATTTGGTAACAATTTTAATCTCCCGGACTCTAATAATAAAGTAAAACAAATTAGAGAATTTATTAAGGACATAGAAAGTAGTACGAACAAGAACAGCAATAATTTAGCTTTGATTACACAAATTAGAAATATTGCAATTCCAGAATTCCACCAATTCTTACATAATAACAATAACATTAACAATGCTGATAAAAAAATCAATAAGATGTTAAGATTTACGACAAATTGGTGTAATAATAATAAAGATATAATCTTTACGAGAGCTGATAAGGGTAATGCTACAGTAGCCTTAGAACTGAAATTTTACAATAACAAAGTTTTAGAACTACTTAGTGACTCGGAAACATATGCAGTGGTTAGAAAGAATCCTTCATCAATAATAGAAAAAAATCTTAATGATATGTTAAAAAAATGGCATAAAAAAGACTACATTAATGATAGAGAATTATGGCGTCTCCGATCTAGCGATGCATTGTTACCAAAAGCATACGCTCTACCAAAAATACATAAAGAAGGTGTTCCATTTAGAATCATAGTTTCATCAGTTAATACAGCGTTGTACCATTTAGCTGGCTTCATACAGGACATCATTTCGAAAAATATTCCTTCTGCAAATAGTAAAGTTAAAAATAGTTTTGATCTTTATGACAAATTAACTGGAATGGCTCTTGAAGAATCGGAGATTATGATATCACTAGATGTACAGTCACTGTTCACAAACGTTCCCATAGATTTAGCGATAGTAGGAATAGAGAAAAGATGGGACTCCATAAAAGAGGCTACAAAAATTCCAAAAACAGAATTCATTAATGCTATAAAGTTCATTTTAAATTCAACATACTTTACTTTTAATGGAACTATTTATAAACAAACGTTTGGTACTCCCATGGGATCCCCTCTTTCCCCTATTATAGCAGACATCGTCATGGAGGATTTAGAGGAAAAAGCTCTTTGTTTTATTAATCCTCGATTGTCTGCTTATTTCAGATATGTAGATGACGTCTTTTTAATTGCCTCCAAAGATACAGTACCTCAAATATTGAAAATGTTTAATGAACAACATGACAGGCTTAAATTTACAATCGAATATGAGGAAAATCACAAGTTGAATTTTTTAGATCTATTGATTATAAATGAAGATAATAAAATCTTAGTCGATTGGTTTCACAAGAAAACTTTTTCAGGAAGATATCTGTCATTTCACTCAAATCATCACAATTGTCAAAAAATAGGAATGATATTTGGCTTAGTTGATAGAATTATTTTATTGTCAGATCCTAGGTTTTATAATAAAAACCTTGAATTTATAATAGAAGTTTTGATAGATAATGGTTATCCCATCGACTTTATTTTTAAATTTATTAACAAAAGAATCAAAACGTTAGCTTATAATAAATCCAAAATAAACAAAACTATTAATGATCATGAAGTAAGACAATTAATAGTGTTCCCTTATGTTAAAACGATTTGTAATAAAATTTCAAGATCGATTAAAAAAACTGATTACATGATAGGATACAGATGTGTTAATAAACTCAATAGATTCATAAAAGTACACAAAGATAAAAACCAACATGAAAATAATAATAATTTAATATACAAAATTAACTGTGACAATTGTGATGCGTCATACGTGGGGCAGACTAAGCGACAACTAAAGACTAGAATCAAAGAACATCGGAATAATATAAGATTAGACCAGTCGAAGCATTCGGTAATAACCAAACATATAAATGAAACTAAACATGAATTTAAATGGAATGAAGTTAAGATCTTAGATTTTGAAAAGAACTATAAAAAAAGAAATGTATCTGAGATGATCCACATCAAAGAACAAAATAATGGACTAAATTTGATGAAAGATACCGAATTATTAGACAAATCTTATCTAAATATTTTTCACGACATTCGAGACAAACAATTATAATGTTTATAGTCAGGGTCGTCGGTGCTTTGAGAGCTAATAATAATTTTACTGACTTTACGGACACATTCTTTCGTTGGATTCTGTAAAGGAAACATCTACTTCTTTTGGTTTAATGTTCTGTAACGGAATTTGATGGTTTTTTCAAGGAAAAGTATTTTATATACATGGGCGTGAGTTTTTACATTTTTATCTCACTATTAATTTTGAAATTTTATTGTCGGTTAACTACAAGAAAAATGTTTTAATATAAAATAATCACAGAATATCATAGAATACTCTTGAAAATGAGCTCTCAAAGTAACTGAAGATTTTGTGATTAACTGAACATTCGACTTCCACGATAAATTTATGATTACCGAGAGATTGGGAGTTGCGAATGGAATCATTGCGATGAACTGGAACCTCGATTTTCACGATATTACGTAGGATTACTGAGAGGTTAGAAAGCACGAAATTAAAGAAGGAAAAAACGCGAAGACTACTAATAGTTTGAATGACTGTTCTTCATAGCTCAATTTAAGCGAAAAATGGGTTTTTCGAATTTTAAATTGACGAAATTTTGATGACAATGTTGACAATATATTTTGATATTAAGTACAGATTATAGATTTACACTGAAGAAGGCTTGGTAAGCTGAAACGTATGTAATTTATTTGAAATTGTAATAAAATATTGTTAGCTCGAAATAAGTCACGAAGTTTTGTTAAAAATTTTTTAGTATATACGAGCATAAAAACCGTTTAAGTATTAATTAATACTGACATTCACCCACATAACATGTATGTTGCAAGATCTTTAAGGAGATGCTGGAGTGACCAAATTATGGACATTAGTCGTATAAAAATCTCCTTATTGAAATTGATGCTGCAGTGGACTTTACACTAAAATCGCACCTCCTAATTATGCTTCTACTTTAATCCTGTAAAAGGATTTTTTATTCCGTTCAATCAATTCGAATATAAATCATATTTTGATAACTCCAGCATA